CTAGCCAGCTATTTTTCACTATAGGTATTATATATAGTACTCCAATTTAATTGACACATTTCTCTTATGGAAAACACTATTTTTTAATCAAGTACTTAGCCTAACCCAACCACACTCGAGTTAAGGCTCATTAAGGATAAGAATATAACACAACATAAAGTAAGGACAACAGGAGGGACATGGAGGTGAAACTGAAGAAGGTGGGTTTGGCTGCCCATGGTGGCAAAAACTGAACTTGAGGGACAGGTGCCAGTGCAAAAGCAAAAGAGGGTTATTCAAGTGCCAACCTGGAAGAATAGTGGACTCCTGTCTCAAAGGACATTTCCTCTCCCTGCTAAAACCCAAGGTTCTTACAGGGATAGAGAGCAGAGGGCTTACTTTCTTTATCCAACCATCCTGCTAGCTTTTGGCTGCTGGAGCTCTATCCAATCCATTCATCTCTCTAGCCATTGGCACGCTCAGTGCAAGAACCTCCCCCTGCCCCATCCTGGACATCGAGGGAGACTCCCTGGTGCCCCATGTCTACCCTAACAGAGGGGGATGCTGACCAGCAATCATGAGGAGGCCAAAAGGCTCCAATGCCCACCAGCTCTGCAGGTGTCGCCCTGCATGGCGGCTATAGGGGGCACGCTGCCGCGGAGGCGTGCCGCAGAGAGCGCAGCGCTCCCTGAAACCTGAAGGAAAACCGGCTGGGGCCAGCTGAGGTGGGAGCAAGGCTCTGAAACCCGCAGAGCCCGCCCTGGGGTTGTCACAGATGAGGGGGACAAACACAGAATGCAAACACTTCTCTGTTTGCTGGGAGAGCAGAGGGGGGCACTTCCCTCTTACCAGAGAAGGCCTTGGCACATCCCCCTAGTGGGGAAGGCCCCGTTGTCCTTTGTTCCAAGGCTTTTATTGAAAATCTTATCAGTGGGGTGTGTAACAGGAATGTACACGTTATCTCATTACATCAGTAGGGTAAGTTTCACAGTGAATATATGACGCTTTTAACAAGACAAGTGACAGGAGTATACTGATTTACATGGGTCCGAGAGGAGCCTAGAATCAACAGTAGAGACTATAGATAAGGGGAGAGTAGATTTAAAGGCGCCTTAAAGATATAGGGTAAAAAGTGTAAATAAAGTAAATGTCTTAACAAGGTAAGGGGTGTAAATAAAGCAAATGTCTTAACGAGGTAAGGGGTGTAAATAAAGGTCCTTCGCAGCATGAGCTGACCAGAGATCTGAGGGAGGAACAGAGCACACGCTAAAGAATTTACTTTTAGGCCTGATTACCCTGGGACCAGCCAGATCTGATTTAGGGCTGTTTTAAGCCTGAGCCAGGTGAGGGGAGGGAGCCAAGGGTTAAGGAGACTGCTTCTTGGCTGCAATGGGGACTCCAGCCATGTTCAAGCCAAGCCGAAGGGTGTAGGGGGCCTTTTTGCCCCTTCTCCGTGTCCCCCAATTTCTTATCTGCTGCCAAAATCGGCCAACGCCTGTCTTAGGTCGCAAACCTCAGCGCGAGGTCACTTACCCATCATTGGCTAATTGACCCTCCATGGCAAAGCAGAGAGGCAGGGGCTATGCCCTTGCCAGGGGGGGACAGGCCAAGTCTCCTCAGGAGCCTGTTTCTCCAAGGCCTCCTGATTATTTCCAGCCTTGGGGCCCTCCAGCCTGTCAGCAGGGTTACAGCTTCTGAAACCAGGTCGGGCATTTCCCAACATGCAGGGACATGAAAACAGGAAGCATTTCATCCTCTAGGAAGCTGTCTTCCTGGCCCAACAACAGGTAAGTGGGTGGCAAGTACTTTTTAACGATCACTGTGCCAAATACACTATCTGCAAATTATTGTTATCAGCACGTACTTACTGTCATGTGAAGTAGGTTGCACTTTACCACAGTGGAAATTGAGGGGCTGCCAAGCTAATGTTCTCATTCATAATCACCCTCCAAGTGAGTTGCAAGACTGGGCTTAAAATTCTTCCCTACTTCTGGCAGGTGAGGGGAGAGGCTGGCAGTTGTTTCCTTTGTCAAGCATAGTCACCAGATGTTTACTGGGAGACTGGGCAGGTCTCTCAGTGTCACTTCTGCATTTTGAACCCTCTCTGAATTCTTGCTGAGACTTCCAGCTCTGTTCTCCTGCTCTGCTTCTGGAATGCCACGCCCATTCTTTCAAACAGGCCTTCTCTCCACCTCAGGCCTCTGGTGACCAGGACCAGTTCCACGCATTTCCCTCTCCCTGCCTGTTCCTAAGTGGGTTTTTATCTAGTATTTTTTCCCCAAGTATCTGTAAGCATTACAGACAGATTTTAAAATAAACATATAAATAGAGGGCAGAAAGAAGGGGAGAATAGACAGAGACAGAGAGAACAAACAAGTTTATAACGCTAAGGTAGTACTTAGGAATGAGACCTGGTGCTCCTTCCCATCTTCACTGCTCCATTGCTCATATCTGGTCTCCCATGAGTTGGCCTTGTCAATCTGTAGCTCCCCCAGAATCCCCACCTCCTCTGTGCATCCTCTGGGTCCCCTGCCATGTCCCTAACCCCTCTTCCCTTTGGCAGAGAGACCGTGCAGACCCAAACTGAGTTCCCAAAGGCTTGACAAGATCCATTTGACCTTGGAAGAAACCTCCTCTGTCCAGCCATTTGTGATTCCTCCTCTTCGTCCTCCCAACTCTGCCCTCTGCTGACCCATCTTCTTGGTTCTCCTTTTTCTTTCAGTCTTCTAAACGTAGATGTGTTCAGGAATTCTCAGGTTTCCTCTAGAAATTCCTGCTAAGTCTGTGTCTCAAACCTTTATGTCTAGACTTGACTTCTCTCCTGAGCTCTTGGCCTTTATATCCAGCCAACTGCTGGATATTTCTACTGTGTTTCAATAGCAACTTAAATAAAGTATACACTAACGCTGAATTCACTATCCATTCCCCTGAACTCCCTGAACTTGGCTCATGCCTCCCAAGTTCTCATTACTGGCTAAAGCATCAACACCCTCCCACAGACCGAAATGGAAACTGCCAAGTCATCTTGGACCTCCCTCACCCTTGTACCACACACACTTAAGATTCACTTTAGTCAATCTTGATAATATCTTCTGCACCTGCTCTTTACTTTCCCTTTCTTTCCAGCATCCCAATTCTAGCTCTCCTTGGTGGGCCACTGTGGCAGTCTGTTAACTGTTCTTCACATTGCCCCACATACAATAGAGTTCACTCATGGCTTCCAGATTCACTTCCTAACTAAGGACTGATCCCGTTCATTTGGTATCAGAGACCTCAAGGATTTAGCTTCTAACCCATTCTTTCACTTTCCGACCTTTTTCTATATGTACTGTTAAACAACTTCAACAAAGAGGACATCAGGCTGAGGGGGCTCCAGTGTGTTGGCAGCCTATACAAGCCCAAACCTAAGCCTTAGTCAGGGCACTCGGATCTGAGAAGGTGCAATTTAAGAGCAACACAGTCACAAACAGGCTTTCCCAGATAAGGCAGCCACAGTACTATAACCAGTCAAATAATTTCTTTCCTTTGCTTCAGTGTCTGCTCTATAAAAATGTTGCCCCTAGGAACTATCAGTGGAGTGCTTGTAACCACCTCTGGTTCGATGCTGCCTGGTTTGAACTGATGTTTGCTCAAATCAACTGTTGAAAATTTTAAAGTGCATCAGTTTACCTTCTAACAGCGTCCTGTACTCCTGAAGTGCTGAAGTCAGTCAATATTCCTCCTATGTGGCCTGTAATTTTTGGCTTCTGTGCCTTTACTGAGGCTATTCTTTCAGCCTGGAATGCCATTCTCTCCAAGCCTTCAGTGTCTCAATCCTTCCTGTCTTTAAAAATCACCACTGACAAGATTCGCAAACATCAGCAGCAGATGAGCAACCTGCCCATAGACCTAGCTGTAGCATTTTTATCTGTGCCTCTCTCAGAACTTGTGACACACAAGCTTGTGTTATCTCCCTGATTAGACACCCCTGGCAGGGGGCGGTCCCCAGTCTGGCTCTTCTTTGATTCTCCCACAGCCCTCTGCTGCTGCGCCATGGCCAGGCAGGGAGGTATCTGCCAACAGCTAACGCCCCTCCCCCATCAGTCCTCTGCTAAGGACCGTAAGAAATGCATAAGAAGACTAACAGCTTAGTATCTGCTCCCCAGGAGCTTACAGCCCACTCATACAGATTATGCTAATGTATATTAATTAATAAAAAGCAATGGAAGATAATGAACAGAACTACCGGGAATATGTACTGTGCACACTTTACGAAGTCTGAGTTTCCTTTTTGTGAAACTTAATTGGACCTTAGAAGTAGGTTTTGGATGGGAATTCCAGGTGAAGGGAGTAATAACAGTAGGACAGGAAAGTACATGGGGAGGAGTGGCCGTCACGCTCTCTGCTCAGGCTGGGATCTGGGCTAAGTGCCTTGCTGGTATTATTTTATTTGATCCACACTACAATCCTGCAAAGCAGATAGTATCATTGCCAATTTCATAAGCAAAACAGCTGAGGCTTTAGGGGATTACGTAAGTAATGGGCCCACATTACACAGAATTAGGTGGCAGGGCTGTGATCTGAACAAGGCAGCCAGCTTCCACGGCACCATGCTGACTCCTCTAGAAGAAAACATCAATATCGCGGGGGTGCTTTCATTAGGAAGAGGGGCTCTTTGGATTGTTGAGTAATTCAAGTGGTAAAGCAATAAGCACAATGTGTAATATGTGTGGGGCTCAGTACAAGTCGGCTGACTCAAGTCTGTTCATCTAGAAAGTGAAGCAAGACGGCTCATCAACCAGGTGTGCATGCTCTGGGGAGAAATCACCACAAAAGGCAGCCCTGGAACTGGGCAGTATCTCCAGGCCAACAGACAGGACAAAGAAGTGACAGAGATTAAGGAGTTTGGATTAATAACACCCGCCCCAGTCGACATCAGTTACAAAGGAAGAGAAACTATCCAAATGAATCTAGCTTTGTTGTAACGAATGTCCATCGTCAGAGGTGATGAATAAGAGATAAAACGGTGGGAGCAAACATACTTGGTCTCGTTGGCACATCGGATCTTGCAGCCTTCTTTGGGAATCACCAAGCCCAGGTGCATCCGGAGCCTGCAGTTCGTGGGCCCCGTGTGTGGCCACACGTGAGTTCCTGGGTGCATGATGGAATATTTGATCTGTGCAGAAAATATAACACACCGTTCTTCCATTTATCAAGGTGTGGAGGAATTGCCAAATTAAAGTGACAGTACAAAATTACTGTCAATTTGGATTAGAGCCTTTGTCAGACTCAAAATTAATATTCTCCTCTTACTTCTTTGTGAGGGAACTAAAAATAAGTACTCCCATTTTCCTCAGAGCTAATACACACCGAACATTTTTCACCCTCAATTCTGACATCAACCACATTAAATTGGTTCATTAAAAGAGAGTGAAAAAGAGGCATTTGTTGGGCCAAAGGAAATAAACACTTCTTTGTAATCACCAGCAGTCCCTTATTGCTAATAAGCCATTGTGTTCCTCCCAGCACCAAAAACACTCCTGGTACCTGTCCTCTTCTGCATCCTGTTGTCTCGGGGAATTTATCTAGTAAAGAACAGGTTTTAGGAGCTCCTTTACAGGCATTTTCATTTTTTCTCCCTAGAACAACAAATGATAAAAGCTTTGTTAGAAACAAATTACAGTAAAGCGTTAACTCATCCTGTTTGGACTAATGTGATCTACCTTGTTATCCTCACTGTAGGAATAGGAACACTCGCATACATACAAGAAGAGGATGTGTTTTGCTCCAATAGATGTTGACCTGCAGGGACTAGAATTTGCCACTCGCTGGTGGACTATTTGACTGAGGCTGTCTAATGGACAAGTCATGGGTTTGGGCTGAACACTTTTTTCCATCTCCCCCCACCCCACGGCAGGCAGAATAATGGCTCCCTCCCAAGAATATCCACATTGTAAGCCCGGGAACCTATGGATATGTTCTGCTATGCGGAAAGGGGAAATAAAGGCTGCAGACGGCATTGAGATTTCTAATGAGCAAACCTTAAAATATAGGGATTATCCTGAATTAACTAAATGGGCCCAGTGTAATTACAGGGTCCTTAAACATGGAAGAGAGGCAGAAGAGTCAGGATCTGAGTGATACAGAATGAGAAAGACTTGAGTGGCCATTGCTGACTCTGACGTTAGGAAGGGACCTCAAGCCAAGGAATGTGAGCAGACTCTAGAAGCTGGAGGCTCCAGAAAGAATGCGGCCCTGATGACACTTCAATTCAAGCTCAGTGAGACCCACTGTAGACTTCTGGCCTCCAGGAGGCTACAGGGAGTAAACTTGTGTTATTTTAAGCCCTGAAGTTTGTGGTAATTTGTTACAGCAGCCACAGTAAACTAATACACTTGCTACCAAAGAAAAATAGCTTATATTTATAACCTAAAAATGCATTTCCAGGACTATACCCACGTCACCTAAACAATATTTTAAATTGGAATTTAAGGTATTTTTCTGTAGAGATCATCCTTTATATGTGGATAAAGAGTAAGGTTTAAATGAAGACAGGAGGAGGTCTTTGACAAATGATATTTTCTATGAGTTACTGTGTGAGAAACAGATTTTGGGACATAGTCTAAACCTCCTAGATTATGCAAATTTCTTCATCCTCCACAAAAATCGCTATTCCTTAGGGAAGATGTGCTCAGGAATTCAGAGTATCATTTGCTCTCATGAAGGAATAAAACATTGGAATTTTTAAAAGTTAGAAACATTTTAATTCCCTATTCAACATTCTTACAAAGGAATGCTACATCTAAAGCTGAGTTTAATTTCATTTAATGAATGTTAGTTGTGTCCTAGATAATAATGTGCTGAAAATGAGTTATAAAAATGCAATGTAAAGGTATTCTTCTTAATCAAACAAACCTCAGTGCTTTAAAACACGGATTTTATATTAGCTTTCTCTAAGTGTTCTTTTGTCCTCTTAATTGAGTAACTTGTAAGGTGCTCTTTTTAGTTATTAATGGAGTGCCCTAAATGCATTGAATTAAAAAAAATGCCAGTTTGAATAAATAGAGTCCCGTATAAGTCATCATAAAGCATTTTTAAGCCCTAGCTTTCCTTGCCTTCCCACATGCAGGATCTGGGGACAGCCTGGCAAGATTCCCCAACTCTGGGTTTGAGCTATTCAGGCAGTGCTTAAGTGAAGTCCAGAGGTAGCTGGACTTTTGATGGGCACTGTGGCGAGGACTGAGCACATGTTCCTTGGAGAACAGTTGTGTCTCACCTGAATGAAAGGTAATGAATGGGTAACTTAATGAATGTGTCATTAGAATTGCCAGTAGGTCAGGACTGGATTAGAGAGCACCTCTAGGCACATAAATCTTTTCTAGTCCATAAACACAGATTCTCTGTTGGGGGGCGGGAGGGGCAGCTGTGTAGCAGATGCTTGACAACTGTGGATTGCCATGGGTTGTTTTAACTATTCACAGGTGACTGTGAGGGCAGGAGCGCAACAACAGTTCCATGGTGCTCCCGAGGCACCAGGCACCCCTCCCTGTGCTTAGAATGATTCACTCGATGTGCATGCCCCCTGCTGAGGGAGGCGCTACTAGTGTTGCATTCTACAGAAGAGGAACCACAGCACAGTAAGTGGCAGAGCAGGAATTCCAGCCCAGCTGGACCCAGAGTCCATGTTCTTAACCATGACCTAAGACTGCTGTTCCACTACTGTTATTATATAACATGATTACTACATAACAAAAACAGTATCACTGTCATTTATTGAATAACTGTGAGACAGACCTTTCACGAGAGCTCCTGATCCTCACAACAACCCCATACTTGAGGTGCTATTTTCATTGCCATTTTTTAAATGAAGAAGCTGAGGCTCAGAGATTCTGGAATATGCTGTCACACAGCAAACGGGGGCGCCACCAGCCCTCCAACCCAGGGTTGCTGGTCTCCAAAGCCTATGCTTTAAAGCACAATTTACCATTTCATTGCATGTTGAGTTAGAACTGCTCATCTGAGGAGGAAACTGCCCAGCAGGTGAACTCAGTGTGGCTTTGTTGTTGTTTTATTACTTTTCATGAAATTGAAAGTAACTTTCACATGATAAACTCTGTTTCGTTGGGAAAATGGCCCTAGAAAGAGATCTAACTGCCCATGAAGATCAGAAAGAATCAAATACATTTTTCATTTATATATGAATATACTTTATGAGAGATTCATGGAATTGGGATTTTTAAAGGCCTTGGGTTGTATCTTTCTAATGTTCAAGGCTCTACTGCTAGGATGACAATGGGTTCATCTTGCGTGACAACTCTGATCAATTGATAGTGGCAACTTAGAACACTGTGTTGAGAAGGATTTAGAGGTTCAATCTGAGCTCATTCAGAAAGGCTACTGGGATCAGTTGGCACCATCTTCTACAAACTCTGGAAGGAAAAACGACTTGCACATGTGCAGCATGTTTGCTAACTGCATATTTTAGTGTTCACTGTTGGTGACAATTCATAAATTTGAGCAAAATTGATGTTACATAATATTCACATAGCAATTTGAAAACTTTCCTGTGGGGAAAAATCATTATTTGTATTATTGATTCTATCTTTTTTCTCTAACTCAAAAAAGGTGATTATTTAAAGTGGGAATAAATATACTTCAATACTGATTATATTACTTAGAGATCTACCATAATTCCCACTTACCATTTGGATAGAAACAAAACTTCCAGCCATAGCTTCAAGGCCTTCAACCATCTGACAGCGCCCTTTTCTTAGCAGACTAGACAACTAAGTCGAATATTCATCTGCTTCTTCATCTGGATCTGAGCTCTCAGTGTGGCTAATAAACTGCCCTCCCTCTCTTACATCTTCCCCGACTGCCGCAGGGTTCTCTCTTCTCTCTCTGAGCCCCAGCCTAAGAGGGCACCTGCCTTCAGAAATTCCATCCTGCTTCTGTGCAAGCTATGATAATTAATTGCCTTCAAAATTCTTTAAACTATAAATTTGCTTCCAGAAAGCGATTACTGGATTCCTCCCAGAAGCTCAGAACCACAAATGAAAGGCCACAAAGAGTCAATAAGACTTCTTAAAAGAGTAACTATGTGACTTATATTCTTTTATGACAAAATAAAGCCAGAAATTAATTTCTACTTAACTGAAACCCATTGAAAAACACACACTTCTGACACACGAACACCCCTAATTATTTTGGATCAAAATGGAAATCAAGATAGAAATGCAGTCTTTTTTTTAATGGAAATAACGTAAGTGAAAATATCATACATTAGAGGTTATGGGTATCCAAAGTTGTATCCACATATTGGTCCATAGTCTTAAGTGCTTTTATTAATGAAAAAGAAAGAATGAAATAAATTTACTTAGGTGTTCCAGTTGAAAAGTTTAAAAGAATAATAAACAGTTAAAAAAGGAACAACAGGAGGAAGAAAAATATAAAATTGGGAATTAGATAAAAGTGAGAAGTAATTTTATGAGGTTTTTAATAACATAATAGATCACTCTGTCAAATTTAAGAACAAAAATGTGCAAATTCCATTCAACTGGAAAAAAGGATTTAAAAACAATACCATGAAAGTAAAAATATTACAAGAATCAACTCTTAATAATTCAGTTGCTGAGAAGGATGCTCTTTTAAAAAAAAGTGACTATTAATTGCTGGTATCTGTAATAATTTTAATGATTCTTTTAAACTATTGCCCTTCTAGACTTAAAAACTTAGAGCTGTCTTACTAATAAGTCCATGTTTTGGCTTAGACTTTTTAATTATTATTTCAAAAGTGATATATATTAATTATAGAAAATAAGAAAGGAAAAGAAATAATTCATGGAAAATCAGATATAATCAAAATGTGAAAATTGGTAAGTCAATCAATACTGCCTGATCCCACTTATTTGAGGTATCTAAAGTGGTCAAATTCATAGAGACAGAAAATAGAATTGTGGTTCCCCAGAGCTGGGGGGAGGGACAATGGGGAGATGTTAACAAATATAGATTTTCTGTTTTGCAAGATAAAGTTTCAAAGATTGGTTGCACAACAACATGAATATTCTTCACATTATCAAATATACACTTGTAAATGATTAAGATGGTAAATTTTAGGTTATGTGCCACAATTAAACATTTTAAAAAATATACATAAACTTAGAATGTTGCTTCCAACCAAAATGTCTCCATTTTTTAAATTTTCTTCCTTGCTTAATACTTTTATATGCCCTAATCTTTGCATATTTCAACTTTATCATCTGTAGCAGAGACTGGTTTCGGAAAGGACTGCCAGGATGCATGTTATTCTGAAGCGCTGTTTTAGGAAGCCCAGTAACTTCTATGAAGCATAAGAATGTTCATGGAACTGAGTCATTAGATGAACTGGTCAATGCTTAAGGCCTATACAATTACTCATTTTAGTGATACGTCAATAGATAAAACTAGCATGTTATTCACATATCGACCTTACTGCTCCATTTAGAAAATCTCATTGGCAAAAAGCTGACAGAATCACTTGAAATCATGTGATCTCTCTTCTGATGGATGTTTCCTTGAAAATATCACTGAAGTAGTTCTTTTTCTTACATGTAAAGAATTCTGAAAACATAACTGTTATAAATGATTGTGCTTATTTATCCTTTAATGTAAACCAACTGCTTATCATCTTCTCAATTTACTTTGCGTGCTAATGTTGTGCAACACATGCTGTTTAGTCTTCAAAATGGATCTGCTTTTTGTATAGCTATTGTTAACCCAGGTTAACTTGCATTTCAAGAAGAGAAGTAGAAAGAGACGTGAAGATAAAATTCAATGCCCCTCATTTGAAGGGTAGATTGATATATTAATTCATTGAACACACACATATTGGAGCTCTGTCTACGAGTTTTCTCCGCTCAGGGAACGTGAGGTTGAATATGAACTACTTCCTAGTCTTGAACAGCTCTGGCGCTAGCTACCATCTCGTCACTCCGTCACTCCGGTGTCTTATCTCTAACAGCCCTTACCATGGTGCTCTCACTTCGTCATGCAAGATTATCTCCACTTTACAGGAGCAACAGGCTCAGGGAAGCTCCTTTCAAAGGCATCCATGCGCACAGGTAGACTTCGCAGTTATGCCAACACAGTACAGTTACTCTTTGTAACGTATTTAATAGAAAAGATCAGGAAAATCAAAATACTATTACATATATTTATGCAAATAGATATGTGAGTATTCAATAGATATACACACACACAGATATTTACATGCACACACACACACAAATAAGCATTCAGATATAGTTTTAAAAAACAATGAATGGAATTTGATAATCTAGGTTTTTCTGGGCAGTTTCCTATAAATTGCAGAGCCCCATCCCTAGGAAGTGTCAGCTGGCTAGGGTCCACTTTCAATAAATGACTAGATACACAGAACAGTCTAGAAATCAGGAGCTCACCTTGCTGCCACAGGGTAAACTGACTCCAGTCTCCTTTCTCTCTCAGATTTTCATCTTCAGGCAGGAAGAGGCCTTTGGTTTTATCCATCACTGCAACACCTTCATCGCGAATCAACTTCCAGTTTCTTTCTAAGGACTAGAGGGAAGATTCTGGTTTTACTGGACTGGAAATATGCCAGGTAGAACACCTTGTAATGGCTCCCAGCTCTTCGTTTGTCTCAGTTGTCAAGTAATGAAACTTTGCTCTCATCTAGACAGCTGATTTCAACATCCTCTGAGACTTCTTGTCAAGGATATAAAAACAGACAAAAAAGCAATCAAATGTTTTTCAGAACTAAATGCCTTTGCAGCATAAAAACTTCAATAACTCCTAGGGTCCTTAGAAAATAATCCCTCCATAATTTGTTTTTGGTTTGCCTAAAGGTTTTTTTTTTTAAAAAAGACCACAAATTAACAAGAGTATTGATCTTGTTGAGCATACTACATTAGTGCGCTACAGTAAGCCCCATGTGATACTCTAGCCTCCAAATGGAAATACAAACCATTGACTTAATTTTACCTTTCAACAGAGGTTCTCTTACTGATGCCATTCAACCTGGTAAATATTAGTTAAATTTAAAAGACATCAGAAAATTGTCTACTGGAGCATTTGACAGATTATAAAATTAACAGCAAAAAGAAAGTAAATGCCCAGAAAAGCAATAAGGTGCCAGGAAGCCTGCATACACAAAGGGCTCCATAGAAGACAGATCTCCTGAGATTTGTATGAAAATGTGGTTCCAGCTTCTGCCAAACTGTGGGAATGTTTTTCATATTGTGTGAAAACATTAGGTTTATTAAAATATTCTAGGGCAGGAGATAAATTTTATCCTCTCCCTGTTTCCCCCAACCCCCAGTCCCTGGCAACCACTTTTCTCCTCTGTTTCTATGAGTTTGACTGTTTTTTTTTTTTTTTTAAGATTCCACATATAAGTGATACCATGCAGTGTTTGTTTTTGTCTGGCTTATTTCACTTAGTGTAATGCCCTCTAGGTCCATTCCTTTGTTATTACAAATGGCAGTATTTTCTCCTTTCTCATATATATGAGAACATCATATATATATGTCACATCTTCTAAACCCCTTCATCCGGTGGTGAACATGCAGGTTGTGTCCATATCTTGGTTATTGAGAATAATGCTGCAATGAACACGGGGTACAGGTATCTCTTCGATACCCTATTTTCCTTTCCTTTGGATATGTATCCAAAAGTGGGGGTGCTGGGGCATATGACAGTTCTGTTTTGAATATTTATGAGAAACCTCCATACTGTTTACGATAGTGGTTGCACCAGACTTACTGATTTTACACTTCTATTTCTGTGAAACCCACCCGTTGATTTGTGTCAAATCTGTAGCTGCTCCCCTCATCATCCTGTTTCATGCTGTTCACCGATCCATAAATAATTATAGCATTACTTCATCCCAAATAGGTAAGTCATGCAGCAAGTCGAAGATTTAATTCCAATAAAAAAGATACTCAAAAGCCTTCCCTTGGGCAGATACTCAGAGTGAGAGAATACGGTGGTTTTCTCAGAATGCCAAGATTATGAGAAGGAAAAAAAGGCCTCCCTGTCAGTCAGGTTTTCTACAAAACACACAAATCGCCAGCTCTGCCTGCAGTTCCTGTAGCTTGTTCAAGTTGCTAGATAAATCTGCTAGATTCTTGTTAACTTGTCACACAGATGAGAGGAGAATTACCTCTCTAACACATATAATTACTTTCCAAATGAGGTTATTGGCACCTTATAGGCAGGTTCTTCCTCTCCTCCTTCCTGGTATTTTAGAAGTTTCTTTCGCTTCTTTTGAAAGTGAATTTTAGAGGCATCTTTGGAAGGAGCTGATTTTTGTTACTAAAACAGGGCACAAAGCCCTAGGGGAAATGTTAAAGTTATTGCATCACTAAATAAAAATTTTATAATTTTACTTAAGAGCAAGCAGCTTTTATATGTGAAATGTTGTCATTCCTGTCCCCTGTCACCTTCTCTCCATGCCTCCCAGGGAAGTGTTGCTTAAGTACTTTTCCAGGAGCAGTAATGACTTAAAAAAGTGCTTTGTACCCCTTGTTATACACAGCACACAGGGTTGATGACAGACTCATGCTCGAAGGAGCAAACTGCAGCAGACGGGCCTCCCCGTCCCCAGCTTGAAATACCTTTGCTATAAGGTCATGAACCTGTTTAAAACTAACCAAGCACTGCACAGATTTCTAGGTTATTTTCATTATAAAACAGTCATTCATCCTCTTCTCTTTTAGGTTCAATACTCTGTCATAGAATTTTACAACTGGAAGGATCCATACTGTTAATCTAGTGGAAACTTTTTCACTTCAGGGGTGATGGAATTCCCCTGGGAGTGCCTCAGGAGCCTGGCCTCTCAGGGCGCCTGGCCAGAAACCGCTTGCCGCCCCTCCCCCGATTGTTCCTATGGCACCTGTGGGAGGGGAGAGGGTGAGGCTGTGGTGGCCCTGGGGACCCTGCTCCCCTCTGGATCAAGAGAGTTATTGATGGCTCCCACCGGCTCCTGTGTGGTGACTGGCTGGCACCAGTCAGGCTCGGGTCCTTGTGCAGGTGCCTCGGAGAACACAGCGCTCTCCCCCGGGTACCAGGCCTGCCTAAGGGAGTTCACATTCCTGACAGCTGGGGAGAGAAGAATAACCAAAAAATCACACCAATTAACCCCGATGAAAAAATGAACAATGCAAAGATAATAATTGTGATCTCCTACATGGTCAATGCAAATATTCTTTCTACCGAAGTAATGACTGCACTAGGACAGCAATTTTCAACCTGTGCGCCACAAGAATTTTTAAAACACGCAATGCCTGTTTAGTCAGGGGCACTGAGCTCGTTTTTCTTAGATGTCAAATAAAAAAAATGACAACAGCCGACACAACAATAGCTGTTCAGTGTGAATGATTCAAAATTATACCTATTTTTTTGGTCAGATCGGCAAAAATGTTTTTTTGTGTGCTGCAGAATTTAGTAATTAGTTTATGTGTGCCATGAGGTGAAAAAGGTTGAAAACCACTGCATTAGGGGATGATTTTCAACTTTGGAAAGGCAGACAGGGCTACTTTTATGGGCATTAGGGAGAAATCTGAGATGGGACCTGGTAATGCTATTTTTAAACACAAACTGAGAAACCACATTGTATAAAATTGACATAGTTACAGGGGATTAAAGACCAAACCTAATTACATGCAGTGTGTGTGTGTGTGTGTGTGTGTGTGTGTGTGTGTGTGTGTGAGAGAGAGAAAGAGAGAATAATGGGATATGAATTTTCTCTACAGTAATGTTCACTTTTCTGAGGTGGCAAAGAATTCCATTTTTTAGGAAATTCTAACAGGAGCATGAAGGCTCACACGGAGTAGGCAATGCCTATATTTTTAAGGGTCTTCTATGAAATATTACTCCCTTGACTCTAAAACCATCCATTTCATAAAACTTAAAAGAGAAACTGAGAGGGCTGGCATTTGAGTTGGTGGCCCAGAAAACAACAGCTTCTAACTCACATTTCTTCTTGTGTCTACACAGACCTTAGAAAACAGAGCTTTGATTGTTTTCACAGTGCCACATGGCTTCATAAAGCCATCATCAGCACTTGCCTGTTGAGTTAAACCTCCACTGTATCTGGCGCTCTGGTCATCTACAGATGGGTTTCCTGGTTTCAAGCCTCATTAGTCCCACAATAGGCCCCATCCAGTTCTCTTTCACCCAAATCCCTGATCCAGGTCAGAGATCCTTCCCCACTTTGCCAATATTCTGCTCATCCCACTTGAACAGTACATGTTTCTCTTTACCATCAAATTAGATTAGGTCTTAATTTTTAAAGCCTTCTCCTAAAACTGATTGCTTGCAGAAAGTCTTTAGAGAAGCAAACTAAAGCCAAACTAATTCTTATTTAACTATTTTTGTTTGAATAAAAGATACACTTTTTTTTTTCCTAGTAGGTTTTCTGGTTCTTACCAGAAGTCCCTTGCCCTCACCACCGCCGCCACCACCACACACACACACACACACACACACACACACACACACACGCGCGCGCGCCCGTGAAAGTTTTTAAAAAGTCAAATATTCCTGGAGGTCTTACAATGAAAGCAGCAGTCTCTCACTCAACTCTCCCCAGCCCCGAGTTCAGCACCAGCTATTGCCTTTAGCAAGTGAATGATAATGTCTTTTCCCTCATCTTCATTGTGCAGCACAGTTAAAGTCACACATCTTTCATACATCTGGGTAAATTCACATTCGGGTTTTATAATATTATGACAATGAGGTATTCACACATGAGTTGTAATGATTGTACTTCATTTTACATGCATTTTTAAAAAAATTCTGCCCTCTTTTCTTTGGCTTAACTTTAGAATGCACTTACTGTTGTTCCTTTCAGCACAGGAGTGTTAGAAAATCTTGATACTATTCTCTTTGCCAAAAACATCACATAAGCTATTACTTTTCTTTCTTTTTCTCCTTTTCTGCAGAAAACCCTCCAGTAGCCATCTGTCTTGCTTTCATCTGAACAGGTTGCTGCCTGGACTTGCCGGACAGCTGTCCTTGGCCTCTGCTGCTCTGGGGCTCCCTAACTATTGAATTCTAGTTGTTTCTGAGGAAGAATACACCACAGATAAAATTGAACTTCTAAAAATTTCTGAAGCTATTCATACACTTGATTGAAGGCCTGGCCATGTATAGAATTCTAGGTAGTAAATAATTTCTTTTCAGAATTTTGAAAGCATGCCTCCATTGCATTATAACTTCTGTGCTGCTGTTGGGAAATCTGATACCTTTGCCACTCTCCCCTTTTTTTGGTCTCTCTAGAGGTTTTATAAAAGTCAGTACAGTGTAGTGTTCAGGGTTGTAGTAAAATCTGGAGCCAGACAGCCTGGATTTAAACTCTGACTCTGTTGCTTATTAGCTGTTCCTTAACCATTCACTACCTTAGGTTCCTTACTTAGAAAGAGGGTAAGATGCTACTACTTCCCTTAAGAGTCTCTAAGACTAAATGTGCTAAAAGTAAGTGTGCTGTATAGAAGTATAGCTATGATGATATACTTATATCATCATGAATGATAATGATGAAGATTTTAAGATCTTTT